GCTTAGAAAAATTTCCTAATTTTATAAAATAATGGTGAAGTAATCTTTACAAGTTTAAGAGTTCCTCCCATCAAGAACTTTTTATGTTGTGGACTGTAAAAAAATTTCCCCAGCAAAAAAACCCGGAAAGCTTTGCACACCAAAATAACTCTTCACTCTGCAGTCTCCCAACTTTTCTCCACCTCTCATCTGCACAGCATCTGAATGATTTTCCAAGCAGCCTCCACTTCCAGTCTATTCTTTTTAATTGCAACAAGTATTGATGGCCATAGACTTCGACCACTGTTAATGTCATGACGTTAATGTGAGCTAAGACATGAATTGTGTATGGCCATTCATTTTTAAAACGCAGTGGCGTTGCAACCTCAAGCATGAGGTCTTCTTAAATATCAACAATTAATTTGTACAATTTTGACGCCATGCATGGAGTCCATTAGGAGAGAGAAATCTATTGTGAGAATTGCTTCTCATCCTTTATTCACACTCTTATAATCCCAACGTTTAATCCATGGGATGGTTTTTTTTAGTGGGAGATGGTGTTGTGCAAATGAGACATGGATAGGGTTTGTTTTGGAGAAAAACTTTTGACTTCAGAAATTTATACCAAACTGCGTCGTTTCTTGGGAGTTAACATTTACTGTGCAAACCTTATAAAAAAAGGTTGTCATTCTTTCCAACAGCACCGTGTGCTGTTTTTCCTCTCAGCAGAGGAGCTGCACCGTACTCTCACATTACCCGCTTCCCACTTTAAAACCAATTCTGCCCCCACATAATTTCACTTTTTAGGCCAAAACCACTTCAACCAAAGTCAAAAATTTCTACAAACAAATTTGATCTTCCCTCACTCCACAAATATCAGGTCTCATTGCCATAAAGAAAATGAGATATTATTCTCCTTTCTGCTTGTCTCCCTTGAACATGCAAACATTCTATCAGGTTACCATTTAGATCTCTTTGAACAATATACAAAAAGTTTCCATAAAAAAGATAAAACGAAATATAGGGAAAGGGACTTTAGTCTAACACTATCTGATCCGAATATGATAATACCATTAATCGGAACTGATAAAGTGGTGGATGACAAGTAGCTGTCAAACTCTGCTACTTTCACCAAAACACTGGCTGATCACTTATGCTTCTTTGGTTCAGACAATTCAGTCATTAGCATAACTTGAACCTGCATTATCGGATCAATTACATCCAGCCTTGGTCGCAATGGTGTTGAATCCAAACTTTGTCTACATCTAAAAACTGCATTTGGGTGCTCAAAACAGTGTTACCTCAGCAATCCTTTCCTAGATATAATCGAAATGGCTGCATTCCAACTTATTTAAAGATACACTCCTCATAGTATTCACTCGACTTGCCCATCGAAAATCCTTCTTAAATACCCCTGCAACTGTGTCTGTGAGAAGCCATCGTCATACCAGTGGCTCTGGGGCCTTATGTCCAACAATAATTGCAATGTCGTCATATCTTCCTGCTGAAAATCTCTCTCTAAGCATGTTGCAACCATAGAGTTGACCTTTTGAAGCGCAATCAATTAGGCAATGAACTTTTAATCACTTGTGGGTCAACTCATATAAAGTCCTCAATGTTATGTCATCCTCTTCCTTCCTAGGTCAATCAAAATTAGATCCATAAAATTGTGGTGTTTGGAAGTATTTACCATTTGATGGAAAATTTTGGTTATGTAATCTTGTTAAGCTTCTATGATCATAGTTTTTTGACTCCAACTGATTTCTTGTAATTACATCGGCCTCTTTTTTACTTCAACCCTCATACCTGCCTTTTAATGGCAGTAAAACTCGATCTCCCTCTTCTAAAAGTTTGATCTCCAACACAGTGGCTATAGAAGCTCCAAGTTCCAAAATACTTTGATCTTCTCAACACTTATGTTTTATATGTTCTTTTCTTTAGGATTGTGTATATTATTTGGGCTCTCCTAGTATTCAAACTTTTATGCTGTGCAGCAACACCTTGTGCTCTATGCCTTTTTTCTTTTTGAGGAGCAACGAATCCGTTTGATAAGTAATCAATCTCATTTAAAGAAAAATAAGGATGCCAATACTTTTATGTCTATTTATTATAATTGTTTTGAGTAGGAAACATGGATGCAGATACAGTGATAAACAAAATCTGTAAACCTAATATACTGATACTGAAATATACGCCACTAACAATATTTTATGTATATTCTATGTTGTACCATATAATCAATGATAGATAGACATAAATGTGAAAATGACTAATTTTCATGCAAGCAAACCTATTTCATATTGCAATAGATAATATAAGATATTGAATAAATCCATAAATCCCAATTTGCCAAAAAATAAAAAAAGAAGCACTATACACTTCATTATTCGGTATTTCAAGAGAAAACTCATCTGAAATATCAAATATATAATAAATTGTTGCAAGGTTTTCATGTCGATTTCCTGCTTTCATTTCCTAGATGGGTTATTGAGATTCTGTGTGTCTTACGTATCCTAAAGATTTCGGTTGTGTATCTTCAATGTGTCCAAAATGTATTCAAAGTGGNCAAAGTCCTTCTTAAATACCCCTGCAACAGTGTCTGTGAGAAGCCATCGTCATACCAGTGGCTCTGGGGCCTTATGTCCAACAAAAATTGCAATGTCGTCATATCTTCCTGCTGAAAATCTCTCTCTAAGCATGTTGCAACCATAGAGTTGACCTTTTGAAGTGCAATCAATTAGGCAATGAACTTTTAATCACTTGTGGGTCAACTCATATAAAAGTCCTCAATGTTATGTCATCCTCTTCCTTCCTAGGTCAATCAAAATTAGATCCATAAAATTGTGGTGTTTGGAAGTATTTACCATTTGATGGAAAATTTTGGTTATGTAATCTTGTTAAGCTTCTATGATCATAGTTTTTTGACTCCAACTGATTTCTTGTAATTACATCGGCCTCTTTTTTACTTCAACCCTCATACCTGCCTTTTAATGGCAGTAAAACTCGATCTCCCTCTTCTAAAAGTTTGATCTCCAACACAGTGGCTATAGAAGCTCCAAGTTCCAAAATACTTTGATCTTCTCAACACTTATGTTTTATATGTTCTTTTCTTTAGGATTGTGTATATTATTTGGGCTCTCCTAGTATTCAAACTTTTATGCTGTGCAGCAACACCTTGTGCTCTATGCCTTTTTTCTTTTTGAGGAGCAACGAATCCGTTTGATAAGTAATCAATCTCATTTAAAGAAAAATAAGGATGCCAATACTTTTATGTCTATTTATTATAATTGTTTTGAGTAGGAAACATGGATGCAGATACAGTGATAAACAAAATCTGTAAACCTAATATACTGATACTGAAATATACGCCACTAACAATATTTTATGTATATTCTATGTTGTACCATATAATCAATGATAGATAGACATAAATGTGAAAATGACTAATTTTCATGCAAGCAAACCTATTTCATATTGCAATAGATAATATAAGATATTGAATAAATCCATAAATCCCAATTTGCCAAAAAATAAAAAAAGAAGCACTATACACTTCATTATTCGGTATTTCAAGAGAAAACTCATCTGAAATATCAAATATATAATAAATTGTTGCAAGGTTTTCATGTCGATTTCCTGCTTTCATTTCCTAGATGGGTTATTGAGATTCTGTGTGTCTTACGTATCCTAAAGATTTCGGTTGTGTATCTTCAATGTGTCCAAAATGTATTCAAAGTGGAAAAATATTTTTAAAATACCCAATATGCATCCGGCTTTATCCGAGGTGTATCCCTAACCGAAATGTATCGGATATGGATACTCCAGCCTTCATGAAGTACTCGTGCCTCACAGGTTCTTGATAGGAACCAACCCGTTGTGCATTGCACTTTTTTTCATTGTCAATTGTAGTTATGTTGTTCTGTGAACAAAACTTTTAGTTTTTTCTCATCTTCTTTTATCCCTGCCAAATTAAGCAGACATACTTTGATGCTCCTGGTGGGACAGATCCAGTTGCCCTTGATTTGTCAAGCATGGGAAAGGGTCAGACTTGGGTCAATGGCCATCACGTGGGAAGATACTGGACCTTGGTTGCCCCACAAGATGGATGTCAGAGAACTTGTGACTACCGTGGAGCTTACAATTCAGATAAGTGTGCGACAAATTGTGGAAATCCCACTCAAATCTGGTACTTCATCTTCCACAGAATATATATTTATTTTCCAGTTTACACCATCTTGTTGTTAAGGATCAAAATTTTGTTTCGGTGCACTTTTTAGGTCATTTAGGAAATGAAAATGTTTTGGAAACATTTCGAAAACATAATGGAAATGAAGAAAAAAAATTAAAATTTTTTTTTTAAAACATTCTAAAACATCTCGAAATATAGGATTTTGATATTCAATCCTTGATTTGTTTCTCTCTATGAAAACTGAAAGTTTCTGACCATTTTGAAGGGAAATTTAGATCCTTGTTTGTTGTAAGTTCTTACTTATCACACAGTTTTATGGACTATAATTCAATCTAAAGTTGCTCTCATTGGACTTTGAGGTCAATCTTTGCATCTGCAAATGTACAACTGTAAACATAATGCCTTTAAAATACTACAAATTTTAAATCGTTAATATTGATCGATCTCCAGGTACCACATCCCAAGGTCATGGTTACAGAGAGCAAACAACTTACTCGTGATCTTTGAGGAAACAGGAGGGAATCCATTTGAGATCTCAATCAAGTCACTTGCTACTCAAACCATTTGTGCTCAGGTGTCAGAGACCCATTATCCACCTCTACAAATGTGGTCCCATCGAGATTTCATCAGTGGAAAGATATCAATTAATGATGTGACACCAGAATTGCACTTGCAATGTGAAGATGGACATACAATTTCTGCCATAGATTATGCTAGCTACGGAACTCCCCAAGGCAGCTGCCAGAAGTTTTCTAGAGGCAACTGCCATGCACCCAATACGTTATCAGTGGTATCCCAAGTAAGTGGGATCTTTGCTTTGTGTAACTGAAATATGCATATGGTAGCTTTAAGTAAGTGGCACCAAGTCTTTGCATGGGAGGCATCATGTCTGATCTTTAGAAGTTTTGTGAGACGTTCGAACCTGGTAGAGCATCCAACTCTAGTAATGAGTGGATAGGCCCCTCAACTATATAAATTAGTCTTGAATAGTCCTAACGTTTCAATGTGTGTACAAGTTCTCTTTACACTCCATTTTGTGGGATTTTAGGCCATGTGGGATGGCAAACACATTGACGAACATGAACATGCACTCCGGGAAATTCAAATAGATGAGAAACTTGAGCCACTTACCTCCCAAGGCTCAACTCGGAATTCCCATACCATGTTAGAGCATCGAATTCAAAACCAATATACAATGCTGGAGAGGCCCGTTAAGTATATAATCCAACCTTAGGTGTTTTTAATTTTCAATATGGGATATAAGTTTTTTTTACNGGGAAATTCAAATAGATGAGAAACTTGAGCCACTTACCTCCCAAGGCTCAACTCGGAATTCCGATACCATGTTAGAGCATCGAATTCAAAACCAATATACAATGCTGGAGAGGCCCGTTAAGGATATAATCCAACCTTAGGTGTTTTTAATTTTCAATATGGGATATAAGTTTTTTTTACGAATACATTGGATAATGTTGCACAATGATGCACAATTCATTATAGCTAATTGCTTGTCTAGTTGAACTTTGTCGAATTAAGCAGTTTTTTCAATGTCTTTTTAAAGTAAAGTGTGTTTCAATGGAATGGTTTCTCAGATTAATGTGTTCCTATTTTTGTTGATGAAAAAATAAAGATCATTGTGATTTAGAGTTTGAATCTTAAGTAAATCTCTCAGCTGATTTTGGCGGTTTGGCTTTTGAAGCTCATTAACCAGAAAAAGGCAAGCAAAGGAGGGCGACCGGCTGATAGCAGTGGAGTGCGCTATATCTGTTTTAGGTTTACTAGTGAGTTGACGGCAGTGCCCCTTCAAACTGCTATGTTGCATATGCTGATTGGCAACAATTCGGCTATTGCAACAATTGTAATGGAGACTAATGTCCCAATTACTACCACAAGCCAAAAGCTCTAGTTGGCATGGTGTGCGACCAGCTGCACCAAGTGTTCTTGGTGGGCTATGAGCAAAGGATAATGCTTTTATATGTAAATCTCAATGTATTTGTTTTCATGTTGGTTTGATCAAGCTCTCTCTTTTTGGCAGGCTTGCCTGGGAAAAAATCGATGTTCTCTTGGAGTTGCTAATGCTGTGTTTGGAGAAGATCCATGCCGGGGTGTTGTGAAGACTTTGGCGGTTGAGGCAAGATGCATATCGCCTGCATACAGCTTTGGCTCTTCAGCTATATAGTAACAAACAGTTGATGGCTCTTCAAACTACAAGGCAACACAGGCTGGCTTCTCTTTTACTTTACTCCACAACTACTGGGCTGGCCACTGCTTAATTGTTGTAGTTGTGCTTCTGCAGGCTGTTTATAACGTAAACTTTTCTGTTTTCAACTCTAGTTTTTGGCCTTCCCCGGATATTTGAACAAAATATTTGTCTGATGGTTTGAGTTATGTATAAATCTAAATGCATTGTAGTTGTTTATTTGCCTTTGGGTACATAGTTTTCAAATCGAGAAATATATCAGGAATCGAAATTCTAAATTGGAAAATCGGAAATCGTAAGATTTAACACAAAATACGAACAATATTAAAAAATAACATGTACATATTTAAAATAAGAAAGATATTAAATGTTGAATATTATTGTATTCTAAAAATAATCAACTGACAGGATTGACATGATCAAGTCGTCTAAATGGAAAGATGTTAATCTTTATAAAGTTCCACTTGAGTTTATACCGAGAGTGAAGGAAATATCGTATTTGTGTGATATTCTTCACAGTTGCATGAAAAGCGGAAACGCGACAAGGTGATACAGAGAGAGACGTGAGTTTTATATTTAGGGATGAGTTTTTTCTAGCAAAATGTCGTTTTGTTAGAAGTAGGGTTAAAAAATAATAATAAAACGAATCGTGCGATTCTTTCAATTTGAATTGAGTCATACGATTTTTGGTCAAAAATGATTATATAGTAAGATACGAATTGAATGAGAACTAAATCAAATTAAGATTTTGATAACAATGTTTTGATATATTTTGTGTCAGTACAAAAAAGAGAAGTGGGTAGTGGTGCATCATATGAGAAGGCAAATCAATGTAACAATTGCTCTCCCATTTAAATCTTGGGGAAATGTTGTAATTTCGTTTTAGGGTGTTATCGACTGCTCTGGTCATTGGAACAGTTTTGTGGGTATCGCTTCCTCTAGTTCAATTGTTTGACAGATTTGAGTATGGTGAGTGTCAATATAGAATATAAAACCAACACTACAAAACCTGAATCCCTTTGACTCTGCCATTGTAGACATTTCTTGACACCTCAGAGGAAGGCTATATATGGCTGATGGGATTTGTTATTAGATGGTTCACGTCCATTCGCAGACCGGAATTAGGATAATCAGAGGTTTTTCCTAATTTTATTCATGTCAACAAACAATTCGAAGTACCTTTAACATGTTGTCAAAAGTCGAATAGAAATGAAACGAAACACTTTATGCTATTTGGGGACCCCATGGAGGGTGTCCAATCCTAGCCCTAGCAGGAAAGGGAAGGAACAGAGAACCAAATCAGGTAACCAATAGCTTTTATCCTACAAGAGCATGTCAATTGCATAATAATAAGAAATATAATAATAATAGGACTATTTAGTTCCAAATTTAAATCTAAATATCCAAAATATTCTCTCATTGTCTTTCCTGCACCATGACTCTCTCAGATCAGCCATAAAAAGTAAGATTTAAGCAGGTAATGTGCATCTTTAAAGAGAGGTGGACCTTTGCATGCCATAAAAGTTTTTTTTTTGGTAAGTGGTATCGTACCTTAAGTTACAATAAATGATAGTGAAGTTGCACTTAATCCAATGAAGGGGTACGATCAATTGGGTTATTTTTTGTACATGTCGGGTTTGTATCAATAAAAAATTATTTAATTTCACAACAAATCATATAATATTATTTAAAAAATTCTTATTTTTTTTCTATAATACTCGTTAAATATTTATTTTCTATCTACAATACTCATTAATCTGTGTTATTCGTGTCGAACCTTAATTTGACATGCTTATTATTCGTGTCAACTAATCGTGTTAATAAAGACTATTACAAGCTGCCATCAGTATAACCATACTGATGACCAATGAGCCGAACCACCTAGACAATAATAAGCTTGCGTTCAGACCAAACAAGACCATTTGGTTCTCCTCTTGGTAGGCTTGGCAATCGTGTCGAGTGGAACGATTTCGTATCGGGTGGAATAAATTTGTGTCAAAAATACTCTCAATTTATAGCCTATTCGTTTATATAACGAATCCAACTATCACATTCATACACGAATTATTTATTAGACGGGTTACCCGATACAAGCTGTGTGTCACCCTCTACATAAGAGAATAAGTTAGAGTATTTCGAGTACACACAAAAAACCATCAACTTGCTACACATTACACATGTTTGACTTGTTTACTATAATAATAAATCATAACTAAGCAAAAAAATAAAGACAAAATATACATTAAATGACTACTAAATTGGAATGAGTCTAACAGATGAGACAGAAACTAAGAGACCTAATTTTGTTTTAAAAAAAATTATAGTACAACTGTTAACGGGTTGAATCGAGTTTATGGGCTAAACATGAAACAAATTCTTTTATTTCACGGGTCTGCTTAATTAACTCGTTAAGCACCCAAACCCATTAAGTCAGGGTCTAAAATTGCCAGACTTACCTCCTGGTTGTGCATTACTTGCATTGCTATTGTTAGAGCCGTCCCTTTGTGTGTTGTTATAGATTTTTAGAAGGAGTTTCTTGTTTTTATGTGTGTATCTAGAATAATTAAAATTGACTTAGAAGTTTTTGTGCATAATAGAACACTCGATACTATTAAGTACTAAGCAATGCTCTAGATATATCATAGATTAAAAGATAGTTGGTAGAATTATTAGGTATTCATCGTAAGACTAAAGCTCTATACAGAGGGATGAGGTCTCAGAGGTTGACAGAAAGAGAGGGGAGCAGATACCCACCTTACCACCCATTAGCCATTACGATCGCACCTCGCTTGACAAACCGTTCACATTTTTGCCACACAAGATGTTTCTCCGCTCAACATAAAAACACCATCAAGTGACACGACAGAAATAAAAAAACTCCCTATGAAAACCAGGAACAAGGGTAATTTTTGTAGACTTATTTGGATTTAACTCCGCTCAAAAAATTTGTTTGGGAATAAGTCAATTTTAATTTTTATTGTCCAAAATACCCTCAATAATTATATTTAATTAAAATTTAATTGCGAAAATTAATAACTTCTAAATTGGGAATTGTACTACCATTAACAACTCTTATATTGAGATTTATACTAGCATTAAAATTATATCTATATCTATATCTATATATAGATAGATTAGAACTATTTTATCTCTCTTACAGACACGCATACATAAAAAAAATAGTAACATTTAAACAAAAAATAGTAATATAAAATATTTAACATTTTCCACATGCTCAATAAAAAACTATTAACATTAAATAGTAACATGCTTAATAAAAAAAAGTAGTTATATGAAAAAAATTGTATCATAGAAAAAATAGTAACATGCATAATAAAAAAAGTAGTAACGTGATGAAAAAAAATAGTAGCATATGCAATAAAAAAGTAGTAACATATAAAAAAATTAGTAACATGATATTGCAATCATTGAAAAAGTAGGAACATTCTTCGGGGCATTTCGTCGATCACCTTTGAGGCATTGTGGAGATGTTTTGATACTGTAATGAAATCATAATTTTTTGGACACATCAAGATCATCATATTACTATTTTTTTTTATGTTACTACTTTTTCTATTGTGCACAATCTTCATATAACTATTTTTTTTGTTGAGAATATTACTGTTTAATGNGTATGTTACTATTTTTTCTATTGTGCACAATCTTCATATAACTATTTTTTTTGTTGAGAATATTACTGTTTAATGTAATTATTTTTTTGTTGAACTGGTTATAAATGTTACTGTTCTATCTTACTATTTTTTGTTTGAATGTTACTATTTTTTTATTTTGAATATTACTATTTATCTCATATATATATATGTGTGTGTGTGTGTGAGAGAGAGAGAGAGAGAGAGATAAAATAGTTTTAATCTATATATAGATATAAATAGATATTATATGATTGAGAAACAATTTTAATACTAGTACAATTCTCATGTCACTACAACAAAAATTATTTTTTGCGATGATTTTTTTCGTCGCCAAATTCAAAAAAATCGTCGTAAATTATTTTTTGCAACGTTTTTTGTTTTGTCGCGTCCTTGTCGCAGAAAGCATTTTGCCAAGCAAAATTATTTTCATCGCAAAAAAAAAATTTTGCGACGAAACAAAAACGTTGCTAAAAGTTAAGAAAAACGTAGCTAAAATTTATTCCACTAACGTAAAAAAATAAAAAAATAATAATTAAATTAATTTTTTGTGACGTAAAAAAATTGTCGCGAATAATTTTTTACATAGATAAAAATGTAAAAAAATAATAATTTAAAAAATTATTTGCGACGTAAAAAACGCGTCGCGAATAATTTTTTCCATAAATAAAATGTAAAAAATAATAATTAAATTAATTTTTCGCGACGCAAAAACAACATGGCAAATAATTTTTTAACGAATAAAAAATGTAAAAAATAATTGAATAAATACATTTGCGACATAAAAATTGTTCCTACAATTTTTCGCGATGATTTTAATTTCGTCGCAAAAAGGTTTTTTTTTTTAAATAATTCATAAAAAATGAAATTGTAATAAATATTTTTACCTGTACACACCAATAATACATGTGTTCAATAAAAAACTAACACAATTAACACATTTCACATCTTTTCCATTCATTGTACATTTCACATCTTTTTTAAAAAAAATAAAATTTTATTTCTAAAAAGAATGAATTACAAGAATCAAAGAACAAGAAGTTCTAAAAATTGAAAAAATGGCTTTAATCCTTCAAGAGGATTTTAACCAATCTCTAATTACATTTAATGTCTCTTAAAATTGAACAGCTTCGTGCCTTGAAATACCATCTCCAAGCTCAAAATGTCGGTACATAGAAAACCAGATATGAGACCAAATCTCAACATGGCAGCTTTGTGAATTGATGCACATAGACGTGATACCACAGGATGAATCTACACAAGATGAACAAAGCTTCTTAGCTTCCTGGCTCATGAGTATACTGGAAAAACAATGTTAGCCATGACACGTGTTTAGATCAATAGATAGAAGCAAGACCTGCTATGCCAGGTAATACTCAATGTCAATTATCCATTTTCCGTTGTCCTTTTTCAGTTCATCAGGATGTCTTGCCTTCTGAGCAATCCCTGTTGAACTACTGGAACTATTTTCTGTCCATAAAAAAGTGCAAAAGCTTGGTGTTGCATTTCATAAATGAAAAGAGACGATTTTAGAGAGTTGGCATGAAAGTTGATATAAAACACAAGGCAGCAAGCCAACCATGACAGTCCTGCTCACAAGAGATTATATAAGGAACTGTATCTCCATCAGAGCAACCAGTGACATAACCACTTTTCTTCAATCTCAATCTAAGTGCTACCTAAAGAAGAACAGATGAAGTAAAAAAATACATACAATTACATTGAGGTGGAGGACATGCAGAAAAAGCATTCCAAGAGAGGTAAAGTAGAAAAGAAGGTTCAAATTGGATAGATCAAACAGTGCTTCCTCTTGGACTCACTTCAACATGAGGTTGACTCTTCGCATCTGGGTAGGCTTCAGGTGGTTTAGGTCAATGACTTTGCAATGACATATTTCTCCAGTGGCGCTTGCCCATTCCTCATATCCTCTTGTACCTGTTTTACATTTCCACAAACTAGATCCTTCAGATTATCCAGTAATAAAATGCATAGGATTCAAGCGTGAGTGGTTTCATCCTTTAAAATCATATGACAGCAAACCAAATGGGCATTTTAAACTTCCACAAGGATCCTCAGATGACCAACCTATAAAATCCTATATCATTTTGTTAAATCTTACTAAGCATTTGTCATTTTAATCATGACATTTCTAAAGAAGACAGATATGATTCCAAAAGTTTGAAATCCATTCTTCGGATATTTTTCCTTCCCAGTCATTCCACTTGATTTTTTATTTTTTTTTTTGCAAAAAGGACCAGTTCAATTCTGATGCATTTCCAAACTGGCTGCTTTTGAGCCCATCTGCTCACATCGTTTGAGCCAATTACACAGTTGTTACTCGTTTTACAGTACTTTAACACAAAGGAAAATCTAAATTTAGCTGTTTAGGTGATAAATATTCATATATGCTCAGAAACTTACCTTCATGAGAGAGTTGTGTATCGATTTAACCATATCCTGACACGACCTGTTTGCATAAAAGCCATATGCATTTTGAGATTCGGAATAGAACTGATGGATGGTCTTTCTTAAACTAACAAGTAATCATAACAACAGAAAAGTATAAGTAAATATACCCTCCAGACAATATTTGACTCAGGCAGAAATCTCCCAGTTCCTTTGATAGCAAGCTCCAGTCACGACGAACCATATCAAGACCTTTCCGTTCAATGACCTGCACCCAAAAAACAAATTCCCTGACATGAATACAACAATGTAACCAGTTCATAAGAATTTGTAGAGGATATACACTTTTATAAGCTACCTCATATGGTGTGCCATCTTTAAACTACACTTTGGCAGCTGCATATTTCTTGTTCTTCAATAGTAGCATTCTCTTGTATATGCCATCAAGATCAATTTCTAAACACCCATATTTCTTGTTGACCTAAAATGAGCTAGAAAGGAGTGTCACACTTTATAAATTAGTGTCATGACAGCATAGTATCCAAAGCAACAAATAAAATTATCCATTCTAATTGCTGTGCATGTCAGAGTTACAACAACATATGNTTTCTTCAATAGTAGCATTCTCTTGTATATGCCATCAAGATCAATTTCTAAACACCCATATTTCTTGTTGACCTAAAATGAGCGAGAAAGGAGTGTCACACTTTATAAATTAGTGTCATGACAGCATAGTATCCAAAGCAAACAAATAAAATTATCCATTCTAATTGCTGTGCATGTCAGAGTTACAACAACATATGGCTCTGACTGGACAGAGTATACATAGAATCAACCTTTTTAGATTACCAGATTCTTTAAAACCGTATAAATATGATATGCCAAATTATTTTCCGGACATTTTAATTACTGTAGAAATGCTGGGTTATTGTATCATAGAAGCTAAGGAACCTGAGTCCTGACAAGACATGGCAGTATAAGGAAATGCATAATTTTTGTTACTCAACTACATATATTGACTATCTTGAGTACTTGTTCACTTAACAAGTAGAATATTCAAATTTTACAATCGAAACCCCACCTCTTGAATGACCTTCCCAGCAATCACTTTGGCTTTTGAAATATCATCGTGTCCACTATAAATCATAATTGAATCTGTGTCACCATAGATGATCTGCTAGAAACAAAAAAATTATTCATGCGTAAGCAACTGGTACATTTTAGTAGCTCTCAAATGGGAGAACCCACAAGCATTAATAATCTATATTCATAAAATCTGAGTCTAAACAAAAAGTAACCTCTAAATTTAAATTATTCTGGACAAGATCAACAGTACTTTGTAGGATCTCCCATCCCTGCACAAAAATAATGTAAGTTGATATTATTGTGCTCAGGCAAAATCTGCCCTCTTGAGAGTCTTTCTAATTGCAATTCTACCATAAGAACATATTTCTTACGTGTAGTGTTATAAGCTCTGCAAGTGGCTTTGCATAGAATCTGGAATTGGAAAACCCCAGGCATCCATACATGTTGCAGCCCACAGATAGGTGGAGGGTTGAAGGGGGAAGAAAACAAAACCATGAAGAACCAAAGATAACTATAGTGAAAGGAACAAAAAACAGCATGAGCAATAAACACACCTATTTGCAGTGAGCTTCAGCGCTTGCTGTTGTATGTCAAGCTGCTGGACCTTTAGACCAGTTGCAGTTTTTAACCATGACTTCACCATTCTCCTTCTTTCAACCAAATTTTTCAGTAACTACAAAAAAAACATGTCAATCTATAAAGGGAATAATGCTGAGAATTTTTGTGCAATAATGCTGAGAATTTTTCCCATCCCCTGTCCTGCAATGTTTTATGCCAGCAGTCAAAGAGTATAAGTCATAGTTTGTCCATAGTCACAAGATCTCAGATAGATATGGGAATAAGATAGAGTTTTATGGACTTATTACCCCTCCGTGTGCAAGAGTGATAGCCATGAGGGTTGCTGCTTCCATGACCCATGAAAGAGGATTCCACATAAAACCCAGAAATTTTAGTAGTTTATTCTCCTGTGATAGAATTGACAAAATTACTTGTCAACACACATGGTAAAAAATTTGTCATATTGAAAATTTCCTAAAACAAACAACGGGAGCAATACAAACTGAATTGAGATAAAAGGAACCTTTTTCTCTTCAAGTTTATTGTATCCAAACGCATCAGAACCTCATCAGAAGTCAGCCCAGTGAGCTCTATATGTACCATTAATGTGCAAAGATAAACAAATTGTTACTAATGTCTGACAAGAAGCAAAGAACAGAAGCTGTGAAAACAAGAACAGTAACTGTACCACAAAAAACCAAAAAATCTGTTCAAAAGCCAAAAAACATATCCTGTACAGTAACTGTAAAAAGCCCCTGCAGCACTGCACAGCTCCTTTCCTGTCCCAGAAGAGCAGTATAGCTTGATGCCTGATGCAGAAGAAGAAAAAACCAACAAGAGTTGGCTTTAATCCTTCAACAGGATTAAAGCCCTGAAATCATCTCCAGGAGAAGCCCTCTATACCAGCTGGAAAAACCTCAAAACAGCATATGAATTGGAATAGCACTCAAAACAGACTGCACCAGAACAATCCTGCCCATTCATAAAGCATTTTTGCATACAAATGAAACAAAATATGACACTACATTGACCAAACAAAATGCCGATGTCAATCTTCAAAGTGTTGGAAGTCACCGCGAAGGGACTTCTCCTATCTGTTAAGAATAAGCAATTGAGAGAGCAATGCAAAGGCAATAAACCAGGAACTGAGAAGCACAATATTCAAAAATTGGAGTAAAGAATACATCAAGCACATAGGAAAAAAAATACAACCCCTCCTTACTGAAGAAAGATGATATTTTTTGACTGTTTTTTGCTCAAGTTCCAGCTCTTCATCAAACATGAATGTGCTTGCAAAATCAAGAGATTGGTCATCCAGATTCTGTTCTGTAAAATTTGAAGACACCTTTAGGTTTTCATGGTCAACAAACTTTTCATGCTCAGTTTTAAGAGAAAACGGAGTGGAAATGAGCCGATTGGCCCTCTTAGCTCCAAGTTTTAGTTTTGATACTTCTTAAGTGTTGAACTTAAGAAGTACAGTAAAAATATACTAACTAAGACTCAGGTGGCATGTTTGCATTAGTTGAGTTGCCCGGCAAAGAACGTTGCATTTGAAGTTGCATCTGCAATAGTTGTTGCATCATCTGTTGCTGTGCGTCTTCAAACTTATCTAGCTTCACTTTCGTTTCATCCCTTTCCTTCTGAAGAGCATCTTGAAGAGAATCAACTGTTGCTCGCAACTCTTTTATCATATCAGCTTGTTCTCGATCCTCAACAGTGGATCTGAATGACTGAGTAAAGGTTCCAGGTTTCGGGCCATGTACAAATCCATTCTTATATCCAGGTCAACTGCCAAGGACTGTGCATGCAATTTCATCCTGTGTCAATGGCTCTACCCCCTCTTATAAGTTCTGCGTGGACAATTCTTTCATCTGCTCCTACAATTTAATGTATTTAAACCCAATTAGTGAGTGTATCATAAAAATTTATTTACAAAAAAAAATAAAAAATTCTACAATTTGAAATACTTACATATCTTGTCTGTGCCTCAGAAGAAACCCACTCACCCTTCTTGTTCACATGAGAATCGTGAAAAAAATCAACAATATGGGGGTGGCTCATTAGTCATAGGGTCCCTCTGTTACAGTTAATCAAAATATCAATATTCAAATTTATGAATTTCCTATATATTAAAATTTAGAAAGCGTATGCTAAAGTATAACACCCTTTCATATAGGGCAGACTGAAAGGACTTTGAACCCATCGAATGGTTGTATGACAGTTTGGCACGATTTTCTGCATTTTTCTTAGATTTTGCCTATATACAAAAAGCATAATTAGTACACAATTGGGAATAACAAGTGGATATTAATTTGCATAGCTTATAAAAATTACCTGAAATTTTGGATCTTTGTAAAGTGTTTCAATTATGTACTCCCAATCTTCCTGACTCACATGACCCTATGACTTGCTCTTTGGGTCAACACCGGATTCAACCAAATCCTTGTAGTATATATGCATATGGTATCGGTGGTCCCTGTACCTTGCAGAAAATTATTTGTCGATGGACTTCCTAACACCAACTTTTTCATGATAGTCTCTAATGTTAAACTTTGTCTACAACAAAATATAAATATACAAATTAATTATAACATGTTGTAACACTCTACACAAATAAATATATTGTTGAAACCAAACAACATATATCCACTAACCAACAGTCGTGCAATGAGTGGTGCCTTCTCCTCTTTTGTAATTTGCTTCCATTTGTACACATTTTTAATAGGGGCAAACGTCCTCGCCAAAGAGCCAATCTCTGTCATCACCTTCAAAGAATTTACACCAACTGGAACGCCGATTCCCTCAGGAATCAAAACATCAAGGGGGTTGTGGGCTGCACGAAGATCAGCATTTTTCCCTCTAGACGGTCCTCGACCTCGCTTCTTGCTGATAGAAGCTGCTGCACCTACATTAATAATAGATGTTAGCCCACCATATTAAGAAAAATGTGTATAGAAAGTAAAGTATGCATCAAACTAGTACTGCTACCCTCAGTGCCTTCAATAGGCTGACATGTAGGTGCATCAGATGATACACCCCTAACATGTGTACTCGAGGATGCACACCTTGCAGGTGCCTCAGAGGATGCAACCTTACTACCTGTTGTGCTAGCTCGGCGATCTGGTCCCATTTATATAAAACACCTAACATATAGAAATTGATAAATTATATCTACAATATCCAAGTATACCAATTATATAAGTGATAATTTATTAATTACCATGAAAATATCTTAATAATTCATCTACATATCTGACTCTTCATCAGAATTGGGAATGCACATCATCATCTTCTTCTGAATCGACATACTCCATTTGTGCCTCATCATTGTCATTACATATGAAATCATCAATGTTATTGTCTTCTCTGCTTCCCCACTGGAAAATCCGGTCTCAAGGAATGATTTCTGGATCAAGATCAGTCCTATGAAGTTGATCTATTTCGTTATCTTCGACCACTACAGGAGCAACCTCTATTGATTCATCCTGTTGGAATGCATCACGTGGAACATATGATTCATTTTCACTAACTTCTACATCTTCCAACTTAGGAACATCCCATATTCCTCGATAATGTATGTGTTGCACAACTTGTCAATCCCTACCCAATTTTGTATCATTAACATAAAATACTTATTTCACCAGATTGGGTAAGACAAAAGGGTCATTTTGATACCATCTACTTTTCACATTAATGCTTGTAAAATGAGCATCAGTCTGAACTGTTTTCCCACTACCAAGGTTGTACCATTCACATTGGAACAAATAAATACTATGGCCAAATATGTAACTCATCTCCCACACTTTATTTAAGTATCCATAGAAGTTAATTGTTTTGTTATTATGTTCTCCTTATACAACTACACCACTGTTTTGGCTTTTTCGACGATTGTCACGCTCTTTAGTGTGGAAACGGACACCATTGCATATTGCCCCAGAGTACAGTTTTATTGTCACATCAGTACCGTTTGCTAGTGACCACAATTCATCAGTTGCTTCATATGACCCTTCACCTCGTAACTGATTCATCTACACACATGAATATGAAAGTTTTATGGTTTTACAAACTAATGCACATAATGCTTAAAATCTAAATTTGTATAGCTTACACGTTTTGCAAACCACTTGAGAAATTCTGCTTGCTGGCGACAAGTGATGTCACCATTTCTTTCCAACTCTAATATAATTTTGTGTTCCCTACGTACAAAACCATAAATTTGACATATAACAAAATTTAAACAATTAAAATGTACAGTAAGAATGCTCACAAATATGCATATTTACCATACACATACTCTAGATACGAATCCAGTTCGGGACTATTATGTAGGACAAACCAATGAGTCATCTCTCATTCCTGTTGAGAGACCTCAGCTGCTCTTGTAATTCGCCCAAAAGGACGAACATGTTGGGTGAACACAGCTAACCCATGCACATTTTCAACTCGATCTGCATTTCGTTCCTCGCGATTAAAAACGGTTTCGATACCAGTAAGATACATCGAGCAAAAGGTAAGACGTTCTTTGACAATATAGGCCTCTGCAATTGAACCTTCTGGACGAGCTCGATTACGAACATATCCTTTTAAAGTTGCGAGATACCTTCAAAGAATCACTAAACATATAAGGAGATAATAACAAAACCAAATGAGAAGCTAATAACAATTTAAAATANGTTAAAACCATCGGTGGCCAATCCAAGCCTAATATTATGACCGTCCCGAGCGAAATCAGGATATTGCTTATCAAAGTCTTTCCATTCTTCAGAATCACCAGGATGCCTTGAAAAATTCTCGTCATTCACTCGCTTCTCTTGGTGCCACCTCATATATATAGCCATTTTCCTCGACATAAACAATCTCTGTAACCTCGGTTTCAAGGGAATGACAATATTTCATTAAACAAGCCACAACACAAACCCTNCACCTTTCCACTGGGTACACCCACCAATACTGCACTGGTCCAGCAATCTTGGCTTTCCTTGACAAATGAACTGCTAAATGCACCATAACATCGCAGAATGCTGGTACAAATATCTTTTCTAACTTACAAAGAATAAGTATTATGTTATCTTGTAGTGCATCCAAGTCTCTTACCATCAATGTCTTTGCATAGAGTTGTTGAAAAAAAATTCACAACTCAAATAAAATGGTACAAATTTCCTTGTCCAAGTAACCACGCATTCCAAGTGGAATAAGTTGTTGCAGCAGAACATGACAATCATGGCTTTTCAGGCCTGATACCTTACCATCCTTCGTGCTCACAGACCTCGATATATTTGCTGCATATCCATTTGGATACTTAACTGATTTCAAAAATTCACAAAACCCTTGTCTTTCTTTTTGTGACAAAGTGTACTACGCAGCTGGTTTTACATAT